CTATCTATCTATCTATCTATCTATCTATCTATCTATCTATCTATCTATCTATCTACCTACCTACCTACCTACCTATCTTGTTATATTTACAATTATTGTGTGTGTATCTATATATATGTATAGACACAAATATAGACACACATGCACTCACAATCATTCCAGCTACAAACAAAACCAGCATAACGAAATATTCTCTAAAAGATTTAACATAGTTTTCAAGACCAAAAAAAAAAAAAAAATAGATACTTGAATGCCAGAAACTGAATTCTGCCCAAAACATTTTTCAAAGCACTTAAAAAGCCTGAAGGTTGGGCTAGGTACACAGTGATCTTCACCTGCTTCCAAATGTTTGTTCTTAATAAATACCATACTTAAATGGAACCTTTCTAAATCTAATACACTTGTGTGTGCACACACACAGAAATACTCTGTGATCTTAAAATCTTATGATTCTGTTCTGATGGTCTGTAACATATTTCAACTACCTATTTCTTCCCCCACAAATATTGTTTGATACATACATATGTACTCAGTGGCAGATGCTGCCCTACAATCCACCCTAAAGTGGGTCAATTGGCCCCACTTGTTATTTCAAACAACATCCTTCCCTGTCACGCAATACTCCCACAACTTGGGTGCCATTTCCAGCAATGCTCTTCATTATGATGTGAATTCTCATGATAACATAGAACTGGAAGGCATACAACTTACAAATAATTGAAACTTAAATCTGTTTATGCAACAGTGTAGTGTTTCAAATCATGCTTCAAATAACAAATATACATTTACTATTCAATGCAATTACGTCCTATGATATTTACACATGTATGTTGATGTTTAGACACCCCTGGCCAAATTGGATGTCTCAATAAATCCATAGATGAATAAAAGATGACACAACTTCCACGTTGTACAAAGAAGTATAACATCTTTCTGCATAAAGAAGTATGTATTTAGTTATGTGCAGTTGTTTACAAATTAAAAAGAAAACAGTAAATCTGAAAATTGGGAACCATTTTCAGTCACTACTTTATAATATATTCTTTGACAGAAATTTGAGCTTAGGAATATTTCCTATAGTCATCTAGGAGCTTTTTCCATTCTTGCTTTTGGATTCCACCCCTTCCCCCCACTTCACTCTTCCTTACAGAAGTTTTTTAGCTCAAAAATATTCTTAGGTCTCCTTGTTTGCACTGCTTGTTTGAGATTTAAGATTTTGACTAATACTCAAGCCTGGGGACTGTGAAGACCATTTTAAAAGATTTATCTTTATTTCATGTAAATATTTAATGGTTGATTTTATGTATGTTTCCAACTGTCTTGCTGAAGTATCCAACCTTTTTTTTTCTGCTTCAGTTTCTTCACTGACTATGGGATGAAAAAAAAACTGTGCTAAAACTGCCTGACAATCTACAGATCTGCAAACCTGTACCCACAGAACACTGCAAGTGATCTTCTCAAAGATTTAACTGACACTGGAGTCATTACCTCAGGTCTACAACACAGCATTGCTTATATAACAAGTTTCTGCATTGGAGAATTGTCTCAAAGAAAACTTTTCTCTGAGTTCAATCAAAATCCCTACCCTAACCAAAAAATCACTATTGTAAACACAATAGTGTTATGATTGCAACTGCTACTGCTTTACATGTAAAATATTAGAAGACACCAAATATGCCTGCAATAAAAGAAAAGCCTACAAAATTATACAATTACTCTATGTAATGGCTGTAATGGTTCGTTTCTAAAATAGGATTGGGGGTCATTTATTAGTTCTTGTACCATGCTGTTTAATGCTTCTAAGAAATTGGAAATGGGGGTTGACTTGTGTTTGTGTGTGTGTGTATGTGTGCATGTTGTCCTATGTCTTTATTTTTCCGTGTAAGTTCCAGGGGAAGAAGGGTCTTTGTTACTTCAGGTTCAATGTAATGTAAGAGAAGACTACTCATGGAGAGTCTTTAATAACTAGCAGGTAGTGTTATGTATGTAAATGCCATTATCATCAGATATTGTTTACAATCTCTGATAGGAATTAATTTACCTTCTTCTATGTCAAATTCCAGATATTTTCACCATCATTGCTAGTATTCCAAGTCTTGCCACTACACATTCATTCTACATTCCTTACATAGTAACACTGTGTAACCTGAACTATGGAACTAAGTTCAGATTAAGTTGTTTATATTTTTGAAATACTTGTTAAGCAATTACCCATTTTATATTTGGATCCATGTATTGCTATGAATTAACATATGCAAATATGTCATTATTGGCTCTTTCATCTTAGAAAACTGGCAACTCTTGCATTGTGAGATTGTTTAAATGCTTTGTGTCTGCATCGAACAACTTAATGAATTAATGTTTAGTCAAAATACTTTATCTGAAAATGTGGAGGTTTGGTGTTTGGAAAAAACCAGCTAAACCTGTTTGGGTTTTCATTGTAATATCTTTGTGTTATGTTGGCATTGATGTTTACGCAGCAATGTTTCTGAGCTGTGTACTTAAGGAATATCTTGGTGGCATGGACAATTTCATGCCTGAAGCTTAAAGACCATTTAACGAATACTAAAAGCATAACATAGCAAGAAATATGTGACTGGATCTCCTGCTGACTTTTAAATACCTTGTGAAGCATCCCTGCGAGGTAGGGATAGGGTTCAGAAAGGAACCATGGTATTTGGGGAGAGGGTTTACAAAACTCTTTAACAGCTTTTTTTTTTTTAATCAGTAGTAGGTAAATACACCAAGAACAAATTACTGATGCTTGCTCTTTGCCAAATATACAATTGTAGCATACTGCAAAATAATTCTGTTATGCAGTGAATAGGCCAAATAGATCAAACCCAGATTCAGAACTGTCAATTATCAAACTAGTCCCACCTCAGCAATATCTACCTTCTGATTCTTGCTATTCTTTTGCAAAACAAATATGATCTTTGCAACCAAGATTTAATATTCAGCTTATAATCTAAATAGACCATCTAGGAATTCATTAATAAAATGCAAAATGAAACACAGAGACATCAGACATTATTTCTCAATTTATATATATTGAGTTTATGAAGCAGCGGGAAGGAAATAATCATGATAAAGATTCATTCAATAACAGTTCTAAATTGATTCCTTCCTTCCTTACGCAAACTTAGCAAGCTGCCCTTTGGGCTCACTTCCGAAGGCCAGTTCAGCACCAGTCAAAAAGAAATGGAACACAAAAGCCCAGACAGCTTTAGATTAGACATGTCCTACAGCTAGATACTCCTTTTTGTTTCAAGTTCTCTTTGTTCAGTAACCAGGAAAGCTTCAGCCTTTCTTCTGTCAATTTGCTTGGGTTATTGTGTATTGATATATCACATGACATAAGAAAAATAAAATAAGAGATTGGAAAAGACTGCTTGCCTTCATTTTAACTGATGCATTGGGGAAAAAATGCTATTCAAGGCAATTGTCTTCTCAAAATATTTATGACACAATAAAACAAATAAAAATGCAGCGACAAAGTGTGTTCATTAAAAGGAAATGCATACAAGAAAAAAAAACTTTAAAAAAATTGAATGTTGAAACTGGATGAAATATTGAATATATGAGAGCCAGTTTGGTGTAGTAGTTAAGGCCTCAGGCTAGAAACTGGGAGAAGGTGAGTTCTAGTCCCGCCTTAGGCACAAAGGCAGGTGGGTGACCTTGGGCCAGTCACACACACTCACCCCTAGGAGGGAGGAAATGGCAAGCCACTACAGGGACTAGTCCATGCAGTCACCAGGAGTCAACACTGACTGGAAGGCACCAAAAAAAAAAAAAAAAACCCGAATATATGAGAACAAACCACCACCAGAAATAGATCAAGTCATCGATCCCTGATAAGAAGTCTGATTGTATAATAAGGAGGCAACTTTCTAAAAATGGATGAATAACTAAAATATAGTGAAGTCCAAAAAGACTGAAGTGGGATACAAATTAAATAAATATTCATAGATGTTCATAACACAGTTTATATTTAAGAATATACCATAAGAACTAGAAATAAGTAATACCGCTGTGGAGTATT